CAAAACAATGAGAATGATACAGGATTTCAAAACAGGAATAGGGAATTAATAATGGCCACCACCTTCAGGAAAAGATCCCCATAGATACTACATTGTGTGTTGTTATCATCTGAATAGATAATCAGACTACCACTGGCTTTAGGTTTCTAAAGGCTGTGAAACACTAACCACTACAAGCATCAACTTGTATTTTACCTTATTAGCTATCATCACAGCCTGTGTTTCTCCGGATTGGCCAAGGACATCTAATTTGGACACACACACAAACCTACCTGGCCATACAAATATTCATTTTAGATGAGATGAATAAAAGGACAGAGATTAATTCTGTTAGAAATATCCTGACCTAGAATAAAGAGTTTGTGTATTCTGGTTGTCCCAGGGTCATCTTTTACCTAAATTTCAGGTACACTGTTTTCCATGGTCTGTGATACATCACCTGCCCTCAAAAATTCTTTCTGGAGGACTCTGGAGAACATGGCGGACAGACAACAGCAACTACTGAACGCTCTCTAAAGGCTCGGCTCAGAGGCCAGGAATGATGCGGACTAAGGAGATAAGAACCAGTAGAGATATGCTCTGCTGACTCAGGAATGAACTGGGCTGAGAGAATCCAACTTGGAATACAGTCCTGGCGCTAAAATAGGAACAGAAAAATCTCGGTGTGGAGGCTCGACTCCGTGCCATTGGAAACCGCGGCTTGGATTTCCCGCCGCGCGGCGGCCGGCCACCTCCACAGCGGCTCAGCAAGGAGAGACGCGACCCCCGAGCTCTGGGAACGGGCGTCTGGGAACGGTCTCGGAAACGCGACGGGCAGGAAGGAAGGCTGACTGGTGGCGAGGTGAGCGAGGAACTGACTCCCTACCGCAGTCTGACTCCAGCGGAGGTTTTTCTGGGCGCGGGCAGTCCTGTAAGAGCAGGGCGCGGTGGCAACTGCAGCCGCGCATTTCCCTCTCGGACGGGATTGGTGAAAGGTGCCTGGCCGGAGGGACGCTGCTCGCGGACTCCCTAGGCTGGCCTAGCCCAGATCCCAGAGCCTGACGGTGGCCCGGAGGAGTGACCGACTTCCGCGTAGGCTGCCTCCTCCGCAACTCCCTGGGGCGCAGCGGTGAGCTGGAACAACTAGCCAGCGCAATTCGATCAAGCTGTAGCTGACAGGCAGGGAAGCCGGGCCTCCTGTGTAAGATTACATTTTATAAGGAACAGAAAATATGGGGAAGGGAAGCAACAAAAAAGGCTCCTCGACCCCCAATCCTGAGAATCAGGCAATAGTGGACACTGTACCAATATACATTAAGCGCCATTTAGAGAGCCTCATAGACCAATTCAGGCATGAAGTTATCAATGACCTGAAGCTAGAAGTATGCAGAATAGTTAGAGAAATGCTAAGCACCACCCAGGAAAAAGCAGATGGTGGAGTGGAAGAACAGAAAAAGAGGGGAGAATTGCTTGATGGAGAAAACAGAGAAAGCATTGAGTATGTGAAGCAGGTGCAAAGGGACTATCAAGAAATCAAGAAGTATACCCAAGACTGGCATAACAGCTTGAAAGAAACTAAGGACAGACTATCTGAATTGGAGGGCAGACTTGAAACATGGGAGAATGAAATGAAAAACTTCTTAAAAATAACAAGAAACACACAGCAATAATACAAAGACAAGAAGATGATAAGAGGAGCCATAACTTAAGGATTAAGAACATAAAAGAAGAAGTAGGGACACAAACAAGTGAACTACAAAAGCTACTCACAGAAATAATCCAGGAGAATTTTCCTAATTTAGCAAAAGGTAAAGATACTCAAATATATGAGGCATACAGGACCCCAGCTACCTACAACCCTAACAGAGAAACACCCAGGCATATAATAATAAAAATTCCAGAAATTCAATACAAGAACAGAATATTAAAAGCTGTAAGAGACAAGAAACAGATCACTTACAAGGGAAGACCCATCAAAATTACAGCAGATTTCTCTTCACAAACCATCAAATCACGAAGAGCATGGGGAGAAATAATTCAAGCTTTGAAAGATAAAAATCTACAGCCAAGATTGAGATATCCTGCACAACTGTCCCTGGAAATTGATGGAAAAACGAGGTGCTTCCAAGATAAAGAGGAACTGGGGGAATTTGCAACCACCAATCCAACCCTACAGAAAGTATTGCAGGATATTCTAAAAAAAGAAAAATACAAAGAACCCAGAAATAGGGGCGGGGAGACCACAACGAATAGAGCAGAGACCAAAACGAAGAAGACAAACTGACAGCTACTGACAGAAAAAGAGCTCAACAGAAATGAGACAGAGAAGATTGGATGATAGGAACAGCTTTTTTTGGAGAAAATGACATCTTAATAGGTAATGCTGATTTAGTACCATCTTGTTTTGAAGTCTCATCTAGCTTTTGTTCTTCTGTCTCCAATGGTCTAAACAGGTTGTATCTTATTGGATTTTACTATGTACGATAGTATAAGAAAAAACCTTTTAAAGACAAGGAGATTATACAGAGACCATTGTTCATTTTCTGTTAGTCGATTCTAAATACTCTATAATGCTGTTATTCTCTTAAATGGATTTACATTGTTTTGATATACTTAATGCTACAGTATATGAAGTTGTACTCAAGGACTTCAGGGAGGGAGTCAATATGGTAACTATCTTTGGGTCAGGATTAGCTGGTGGTGAAACACTATTCTGCTTAAATGGTTATGTTTTGATCTGCCCTGTTTCGCTGTTATGCCCTCTTTTTTTTTCTCAATCTCCACTCCATTATTTACTTTTTTATTTTTACCCATTTAATTACAGGGAAAAATATAGCAGGATATAATATAGTAACCCACTTTGACCTTCTATTATCTCGATTTGAAGCCCTGTATTACTCTCACCATCTTGTTTTTGACTGAGGTTCCTATATTCTGTTTTGCTGGATAGTATCAGGTTCGAAAGTTTAGGCATCAGCTGAGAAGATAATGAGATTCATTATAACGCCCATTCTCGTTGACTTTTATCTACTTTTGAAGACCTACAATGTCTCCAATGTTTTGGTTTTGTCGGTTTTATTCTTTACGGTTTTGTTCAATTGTATTACAACTAATGATATAGGCAATTCTATTAGAAATAGCGGGAGGCATTAGGGTAACCATTGTTGATCACCTTGTATTATGTTTTTATATTATCTATTATGTCCACCCTTTTGACTTGACCGATTCTGTTCTGTTATGTCACATTTGGTTTTACTCTCTTCCAAAAAAGCAACAAGAACCGTGGGAGCAATGAAACCCAAAATGTGTAATAGTCACTGTACAAAAGAGAGGAAAAGAAAGTGCTCTAAACTATATAACTGCATGTATATTTAAAAGTATAAGATAGAAAATGATATCATAGAGTTTTATTGGATCATTGAACAGAACTGTTTGCAGTATCATTGGTGGAATGTCCACTCTACAAGCTTTAATTTTGTGACTTGAACAATTATTTCTAAGATGGCAATATGTAATCCATTAACTAGTGATTTCCTACTGTGCATTTTTTTATTCTGTAAATCTGTATAACTTGTACCCCTTCACTGTTTTTTTTTCTTTCTTTTCTTTTCTCCTTAAATAAAAATTAAAAAAAAAATTCTTTCTGAGGTGTGTGTGTGTGTGTGTGTGTGAGTGTGCATTTAAAAAAACCTTGTATATTACAATCCTGATTTCTGATTAATTTAAGCAATGTTGCTTTATTAAAATGACTTTATTGAATTCCAAATCTAATGTTTACCAGCTCTAGACACTAGCCAAACTGATTAACTCTGTTGAGACTGAGTTTGTTCATCGCTAAAGTGCAGACAGTGTTATCTACAGCTTACCATGGTTGCAGAAATGAAAAAGAGAAAATTTATGTGAAGTGTGGTTAGTACAAAGTCTGCAATATAGTCATTTCCCAATGAATGTAATTTATCCTTTATTTTCCTTTCCCTTTTCTCAATTAAGATATATTCTTTGGAAGACACTAAGCCTAGTCATTTATATAAAAGTGACAGATTATGTCACTTTGTAAATTTCCTAGAATGTTTTATGGAAGTGGGCTTATTCATCATCATGATCATGATCATCATTATAGACAGTTCTAATGCTTGTGCATACTGTCCTGAGTTACAGGGTGGATGACTTATATTCTTCATAGAAATTTAGTCAGTGAGAGGAAAAGGTTGGTCAAAGGTTGGGAATGTCACAGAGTTTTCCATTTTGTGTCCAAGGTAGACCCACTTAGGGTCACATTTGGTGATGTGTTTTGAGCAGGTGACAGTTAATGAACATCCAGGAGGACCTGTCATCAGAGCTCCACTCCCACTGATTCAGGGTAAGGCTAATATGAAAATCAAGTCTTAGACATGCATCTGGAGGCACGTGATCTAAAAAAGAAATTTGACAGTGCTGTCCTGAAAATCATTACAAAGAGGTAACAATTCAGTAAATAGAAAGTGTGGCCTTTATCAATGTAGTGCCCATTGGAGATCTATTAACACAGCCCGCTTCCAATTGGTAGACACGACAGAACAAATTCTGGGAAGGCTTGAGGTGACTTGGAAAGATTTTTCCAAGATACCCCTCCTGGGAAATTGGTCAAAAGTGCCTTAGTCTTTTCTGTGGGAGATGTGGATTCTTTTGTCCAGGGACCAGTTGAAAGAAGAGTGTGGATTTGGTTCTTACATCCTCTTGAGGGCACACGTTATTTACAAAAGGAAATTTATATTACATGATCCCATCAAACTTGGCATCCAGAAACTCAAGCAAATATTTACTCTACAGGGATGGGCTGGCAGTGTTAAGGTAGAAAGGTTGACCCTGTGCAACTTCAATGAAGTTTATCAAGTTCTTAATGGAATAACATTATCTATGATGAACAAATATTAAGAAATTGCCTTCAGTAATTGCTGGTAAATATTTAACAACACTTGTGTGTCAGACAACAGAAATAGAATAAATATCCAGAAGAAAGCACCTTTTTCATCCTGCTTGAAGTCAGTACTAAGAAGTTATTGGAAATAAGATTTCTGCCTTATGGAGTGGGCCCTCTGTTACTGTATGTTCTTGTGGCTTCTGAGTCAGCATTACAGGGAACTGTGGGAGCCTGCATGGCTGCCCAGGTAAGCTTGCTCCATTTTGCTGACTCACAGACTCCTTGAACATTGTACTGCGTTGTGCTGAAAGTTCTTTTGGCACCAATTCTTCCTGATTAGTTTTGGCTCTTTAGAATCCTGGAGCTGTGGTAGATGATGTCACAGGGTGCAAAATATCAGTGTGTGTCTTTAAATAAGAGATCAAAGCTAATAGGCAGTTGATTTCTAAGTCTGTTTTGTAAGTTTTGGAGAAGAATATCAAACATTCATGAGTCATTAAGAGTGTGCAACATGAAAAAGAAATGGAAATGTGTATCTTATTTAGGCATTAATGCACCTAAGCTGATAGACCCCAATAATCAGACGAAGTGGCTGAATCGACTGACCTCGATTTCACTTTTTATTTTACAGCCATCTCAGTGTACATATCCCAAATGTTTTATTCTGTCATTGTGCATGATTCTTAGGATGACTTTTGGCCAGTCTAAACATTGCCTAGGAGTTGTTTATCATGTTTGATTTATATGCCTCCTGGAGCATGTGTACTGTTAATTTCTGCTTGAGAATTTCCAACAAAGCAAACATTTACAAAAAGAGGGTGATTTTCTTTTAGCTATGATATTGGACCAAGTCAGTGGTACCAAAATAGATATCACTGTGTCTAGATTCCCAAGAATTTAGTCACAATCACTGTACCAGTTGTGCTGGGAGAAACATGCTGTCTCCCTAGAGCTCTGCAGGGTATCTTGTCCACTGTTCAGTGGAGCTGTTTGTGTGGCTGTAAGAGACAAGAGTCCCTGTGCTCCCTCACTCGAGTCCCTCTGCCAGTTATTAGTAGAAAGCCAAACTATTTCCAAGATGATATTATGTAATCTATTAACAGGTGATTTCTTACTGTTATGTTTTTTTTTTGTAGTTATGTATTATGTGTAACCTTACACTGCTTTGTTCTGTTTTGTGTTTTTCTCTTTTTCCTCTTAAATAAAAAAAAAAAAATAAATAAAAAAATAAAAAAAATAAAAATATTAAGAGGAGAACAAGGCAAAGGAAGAGGAAAGATGTTAACATAAAATTTTCCGCAGGAATTAACAAGAATTCACCCCACAGGGGAAGTCCTCAATTGCTGCTTGCTTAAGAAAATGTTTTCACCACTCTTGCCAATGCTGTGATATCTAGGAGGTATTAAACAATCCAGAAAGTTTATTCATTAGCTCTGATGCATCTTAATTCTTGAGAAAGCATGGAAATCATGTCATTTCTGTCTTCTCCTTGAAGTTGGGAATTGGAATACCAAAAACTCTTTTCCCTCCTCAGAGCAAATGCATTAGTCCAATTTGATATATTGACTCATAAGCCACACAGTAAGTAGTTTGAGTCACTGTGTTCTAGAAAATTAAGACTCCGTATTGATGTACCACTTGGCTCTGACTCTGAAATGAATATATATATAGTTTTTCAAATGTTCCATTTGGAAAGTAGATTAAAATATTCAATAAATGATCTCTTATTTAGTAAGTGCTTCTTATGGAGACCGCTGGATTCAGGGTAAAAGACTGTGTGTTCTGGGGGGGTCCTTTCTGAAATATGCCCTTTCTTAGAACTTCTGACTCAGTTGGGGTGTGTTCTAATGCCTGTGCCTGTTACGGGAACAAAAAAAAGGAAGTGGAGTTTGCCTGAGAGAGGCAGCTCCTGGTCTAATGTGAGGATCATTCTTCCTGCTTCGATTTGAGCTCAAACTCCAGGACAGCCACACTCTAATCATCCACACTGAAACTTAAGAACCAAGGATGAATGTACCACTTAGGATCGTCGGTCACATTATTTTGGTTTCTACATTGAATTAGCAGTGCTAGAAATAGTTATTTACTTGATTTGCAAACCAAAATATTTGAGATCTGAGGAGAGTAGACTAATAGCTGACTCATGCTGCTCAAGAAGGACTTCAAAGAAGTTACCAATCTGGATACTATATCACCCAATTTTGTAGAGAAAAAGCAACCCATCTGCCACTTTTCCATTAATCAAAATCATTTAAAAATAGGATGTTCTTCCTCTGTGAAATTATGAGTCTCTTAAGTTATGAGGATGTTATTCTAATCTACTTAACTCTTTGGGGGAAATTCTAGATTTAACAGTTTTATGTACAGCTTTTGTTACCTCAGAGATACTTTCTACATAGAAATACTTCTATCTTAATAAAGTGTCCGAGCTACTCTGAGGCTGTCTTCTGTGTCCTTAGAGGTGTTTACTCCCTGCTTCTGCTACATTTTCCTTACAGGTCAGGCTAACTTTTGGTGCTGAAGTCAAGGGAAACCAGACCTTGGATGAGGGTGTTAGGTAATCAGTAGCAAAGCCACCTTGTTATCTGAGAGGGGAAGCAAGTGCGTATGGATTGTGGCAATATGTTTGATGAATTCCATGAAATCTTGAAAATCAGTGTGTCTGTAGAGTCATTTCCTTTTGTTTTTCTTTTTTAACAGAAGCACCGTGGTCTAATGGAAAACAGCAGGGCTTTCAACAAGAACCCCAAGTTCTTATTTGAGCAACCAGTTTTCCCTTGGGTGACCTTTGACTATTTAACTTATCAGGACTTCAGATTCCTGATTTATAACCTCAGAATAAAACCATCTTGGATATTTAGAAGTGTTGACATGCCTCAGTAAATTTTAGTTAGCCATTTTTTTCTTAGCCTTCTCCTATCACACATGAGAAAAATATTTAAAGGATATGACAACAATAAAGAAGAAAGAAATGAAGGTAAGTGTAGAACTAGCATCTAGGAGGAAAATTGGGAAACAAATGTGGCACAGGTAGCTTGTGACCTAAGGTGAACGTATTTCCAGGGAAAGAATTTTACATGCCTGCTGATAAGAAGCCAGTGGTATCCCAGAGCTGGGGCAGGTTCCTGCCAACTGCTGTGTGGTTTGATTTACAGTGCGTGAGTTATCTTGATTCTGTTCCTTTAATACTATCTGTAGCAGATCAGAGCCCCTCTTTTGTGAGGCAGAATAGATTTGTGCTTTTTTGGGAGGACAGCTGGCTTGGTTAGCATTGTTGGAGATTTTTCCTGAGGCTTGTGGTACCTGAATGAATAAGTCAGCTGTGAGACACTTTTGGGCATGAGCTTTTCTTTCTGCCAAGGCGATGTGAGTATGCACAGAACAAAAACAGAAAGCTAGCCAGACAGCTCTTGGAAGACGAATAGATCAATAAATATCTTTTCCATCATTAAATGCAATCTTTTACAATTTTTATCTCTCTTCGTGCACCATAGGCTTCTGGATTTATTTTGAGAAGAATGAGCTTAGTTTTCCTAGCTGTCATAGAGTTACCACTGACTACTTGTGCCTCAGTCAAGAGGCAAGAGCAGAGATAACTCTAGTCAGGTCACTGGCTCGGAAGAAAGAACCCTAAAAATAGCCAGGAGCTATGGAGCCAGGTAAGGTGCCTTGAAAGTCCTCTGAAATAAGTGAATCAAAAATTCCTGCTCCATAAATGGGACTCTCATGAACGCAGGACAGAGTCTGATTAAGCTTAGTCCTTTGTGATTAAGGTAGTCCTTTGTGAGGAGTTCCTAAGTATAATCAGAAAGCTGGATATCCACAGATGGAACGCATCTTTGATCAAGAATGCTCAAATTGCTTCATGTTGGCAGGCCCAAGCAAAGTGTAGACTACAAGGTAGACGAGAGCCTGGATACAAAGGAGGAACGCATAAAGCATGTAATCCTTAGAGAGGAAATTAAAAGTTGATTGTATCCAGATGGCTTCGGGAACGTTCATTTATTCCAACAATGATAGCTGCAAAGTGCAACAGTGACATCCTTCAGTGCATGAGCTGGATGGAGAGCTGGTTCATTAGCGGAGGACTGGACTTGGATAGAAGCATGCAGAGCTCTTCTGGAGGAACAGGACCGAGTGGGAGGGAAGGGAACTGCACACGGATGGGTCTCTGTTGATTACTGTAGTAAGGAGGGGTACTCTGTGCCAACTATGGTTTTCAAGCTGCATTATCACTAAGTAGAAAGGAACACAAACTTCTGTATCTGCTGTCATGGTAGTGCAGGAATTTGAGAGAGAAGATAGCAGTCTTATAGAAGGCTACAAGGTGTGGTTGAAAAAAACATAAATGGTTAAAATTAAAAAAAAAAAAAACCAATACAGTGAAAGGCACATTGGAAGAACAATGGGATAAGTTTTCAAATTGAAGGAGAGTATTCTGAGGGCGTTAATGGACATGTGTTTTTAACGCAATCTATTTAAGATTTATATACTAGTCATACTCTTGTGTCACACCTCATATAAAGGAAATTGTTCTTAAGAGAATTTAGGTTTCAGATACAACTGGGGGGTCAGGAGAACATTGTCATAGGTTTCTGAAATTCCTGTGGATTTTACTGATGACACATTAGGAATGCCAGAGAACACAAGAGTAAGGAAGATCAGAGTTGGCTGAAAAGTGGGTGAAATCAGAGGACGAAGTTACATGGAAATGATCATCTGGGTGATGAGGAACAACCAGGGGATGAGAAAAATATCTTAGGATCACAGTTATTTTTAGAGAGGGGGAAATGTAGAAGTTTACATTTTAGCTTCATACATCATCGTCATCGTCATTACCATCCTCCTCCTCCACTTCCTCTTCCTCAAATTGGATCATGCTTGTGACTTTGAAGTTGTCTGTGTCAGATTGGTTCTGTTCATGTAGGTTCTGGCCCATGGTTTTGGACCATGTTTATTAATATTGATACACTAGACTTGAAATATATTCTGAGGCCTTTAGTTTATTCTTGTGTTTTGGGTCAGTTTTACTGAGGTATAATTTATACATGAGTTTCATTCCTTTTAGTATATATTTTTGTGTGTTTTGGAAAATCTATACACTACACCAACAAGTCAAAGTTCCCCCTATTCTTTGTGCTTGTATTTAACACCTTATCCTCCCCTCAGTTCCTGGCACCCACTGATGTAACTTTAGTTCCTTTTGCCTTTTTGCAGAATGACAGTGAAATGTAACCAGATACTTCTTTAAGACCTTTGCATCTGGATTCCATTACTTGCCATAGTGGGTATGTGTATCAAAAGTTTTTTCCTGGTTCTTGCTAAATTATCCATATTATTCCAATGTATGAAAATATCACAGTCTATTTATGAATTTACCAGCTAAAGGACATGTGGGTGGCTACTAGTTCTTGGAGTTTGTGAATAAAGTCACTAAAATGGTCAGTTTTTGTGAAGTTTAAATTCTCATTTTTCTTGGGAAAAAGTCAAGGAGTAAGATTGTTGGATTGTATAGTAAATACTTGTACCTCCTAAAAATGGCTGTACTGTTTTCTAAAGTGGCCCTATCACTTTGCAGCCCCACCAGCCAAAAATGGGAATTTTAACCGCCACTCTCTGTGCCGGTGCTATTAGTGATTTATTTTAGTCTATTAAGTGCATGGGTCATATTATCACACTGTGGTTTTAATGTGAATTTTTCTAATGATAACTAATGCTAGACATCTATATGTTTATTTACCATTCATATATTCTCTTTGATGAAATGTCAGACCAAATATTCTGCCTCTTTAAAGTATTGTTTTCTTATTTCATTTTAAGAGATTTTAAAGCATGTATTCTAGATAGGATTGTATCTGACATTGTTTTTTTTTTAAATTAAAAACAAAAACCAAAATCTTAAGATCTGATTTTTTTAACTGAAACTTGTACATGTGCATGAATTTGTGTCCTGGCTCTTTATTCTGTTTCACTGATCTGGGAGCTGTGTTCATGGTCCATGTTCAGTGGTCCTGTTAACAGTGGAATAGGTGGGTTTGGCTCCTGTTCTCTGGGTGGTTGGGACAGCTTCTGAGACTGGGACTACAGGCTGCATCCACTTCCACCGTGGTACACCTGCTACCTAGGGGCAGGTGGGCCCTCCCAAGGTGGCTGTCTTTGGCCTTGGACTCCATGGCTGTGGCTGATCAGCTCCACTGGCTGCTGATTTGGGTCGTATAGTACTCGATCCATGGATAATTGCTTGCCAAATTAGCATTTCTGTGGGTAAGTGAGGACTGGGATGAGGACTAATCTGCCTTCTTGCTGACCTCACTCTGAGATACTATTCAAGACTGTTTTATCCAGATTAACTGATTGTATTTTTATTTTTATAATAGTGTGTTTTGAAGATTATATTTTGATAAATTTTAATAGCTTTTTAAAAATGAAATTTGCTTTTGGTTTCTAATAAATCACTACCTAATCCAAGGTGACAAATATTTTCCTCTTTTTTTAAAGATATTTTATAGTTTAAGGTTTTACATAAGGATCAATCTACTTTGAATATTTATTGTGTGTCAAAGTGGTTTCTTTAATACTGATATCTAATTTTTCAGCACATCTGTTGAAAAACAGTTCTTTTATGTTTAAATTTCCTTGCATCTTTGTCAAAGCAAAAAAATTGATCATATTTGTGTTGGTAAAATTCTGGACATTTATTTTATTGATTTGTAAATCTACTTTACGTTAATACCATGTTTTTTAAAATTATTACTGCTTGATAGAAAGTCTTGAAATCAGTCAGTATGAGGACTTTAATCCTTATCATTTTTAAAATTTTCAGAGCTATTCTGGTATCTCTATCTTTCTAGGTACATTTTAAAATATTACCAATTTAAAAAAAATCAGAGTGGGATTTTGATTAGGATTGCATTTACATCTATAGATTAATTTAGGGGGAACTAGTACCTTAACAGTACTGAGTTATCTACCATAAGAACGTGTAATATATCTCTCCATTTATTTAGATCGTCCACGTTCCTCTATCAGACTCGTAGTTTTCAGAAAATTTACCGATGTTGGTCATATTTTGTTAAATTATATGTAAGAATGTCATACTTTTTGCTACAGTATAAATATAGCTTAAATATTTTTTACTATGAAAATATAATGAAATTATAAGCATATAAGATGAAACTGATTTTTAAAATGTTTGCCTTACATGTTGCATTGCTGAAGTCACTTATTAATTTCAGTAGAGTTTTGTAAAATCTTTGATTTGCTATGTTTGCTGCAAATAGAAGTATGTATTATCTTTTCTGACTTGATTTGCATGCCTTTATTTTCCTCTTTTTTTTTCTTTATTACACTTGCTACAAATTCCAGTATGATTTTACACACACATGTAAAAACAGATATCCTTGGCTTTTTCATGATCTGAAGAATAAATGTAGTCCTACATTAGGTATGGTGACTTGTGTCACACTGAAGAAGTTCCCTTTAATTTTTACTTGGTTGTCATGGCATTAATGGATGTCAAGTTTTATTCAATGCATCTACTAAGATAATCATGTGATATTTTCATGGATTAATTTCCTAATGATGAAACAACTTCATTTTACCAATTTAAATCTCATTTGAAGATTGTATTCATTAGCTTTCCTGTTTCTGGGATGAAATGCCTCACATCTGCAATTTAAAAGGCAGGATGGTTTGTTTTAGCTCCAAGTTTCAAGTTTTAAGTTTTATTCCATGGTTGGCTAGGTCCAAAGTAGATACAAAATGTTGGAAGGGTGTGATGGGGAAAGACCATGGCAACCAGAAAGCAGAATGTGTTGGAAAGATCCAGAAAGGACTAAGTATAGATATAGTCCCCATGTTCCTGCCCCCCACAATGACCCACTTCCTTCTAGTGGGCCCATCTTCTACGAACCCATTCAGCTATAAACTCATCCAGCTGTCTAACCCACTGAAGAAGTTAGTGCCCTCACACCACATTAGGAGTCTCCATGAGTCTCTTAATGCAGTCACATTGACATTAACTGGCACAGTGATGCATTATCAGATAGAGACAGATAGCTAAAGCTCATTTGCCAAAACTCTACTGAGGAGTTTTTGTTCTCAGTACTGGGTACTGGACTCAGCCCCGTCCAGTTTTTATTTTGAGATAGGGTCTCACTATACTGCCCAGGCTGGACTTTAATTTGGGATTTCACTACCTCAGCCTCCCAGAGTGCAGGGATTACAGGTTATGCACCTCTATGCCTGGCTTTCATTAAAGACTTTTGTCTGCACCGTTGATAAGGAATATTGGTCTGTAGTTTTCCATTCATTATAATTCATCTGGTTTTGGTATCATAGCAATGCTGGCCTCATAAAATGAGTTGGAAACTGTTTCCTCTTCTAGTTTTTGGAAGATTTTGTGTATCCTTCATATTATCTCTTTCTTAAGATTTTTTTATATATAATCTGCCAGCATATCCATCTGGTCTTGGTATTTTCCTTGTTTGGAAGTTTTAACTACAAATTCAATTTATTTAAGAGATTTATAGATACTTAGGTAATGTATTTCTTCCTGAATGAACTTCGGTAGTTGGTGGTTTTTAAAACAATTGTCTGTTCCACGTGAGTTTTGAATGACCGATACTTACAGTTGTATCCTCTCACACCTCCCTCTCCCCTGCCCCTGTCCCCTTGCTTTCCTTGTTCCTCTGTCCTTTAAAAACACAGTCAGCTTCACCGATTCTCTCCATTGTGTTTCTTTTTACAATTTCATTAACTTTTAGCTAATTCATCATTTCTCCCTTTCACCTTGCTTTGGTTTCATTTACCCTTTTAAAGATTTCTTGAGTAAAATTTAGATACTTGTTTTGAGCCTTTTCTTTTCCAATACAGATATTTAATGCTATATATTTCTCTTTACTCCCTGCTCCTCAGGGAGTAAAATATGTCATGTTTTTACTTCAATCCAAGCAAAATACTTTCCAATTTCTCCTGTCTCTCTTTGACCTATGAGCTGTTTATCAGTTTACTGCTGGATCTCCAAATACGTAAAAATTTCAATATATGTTTGTGACTGATATCTAGATTAAGTTTGTTAATATTTTAGGACATACTTTGTGTGATTTTAATTATTGTAAGTCGGTGGAGATTTGCTTAAGGGACCAGAAGGTGGCTTACCATGTTGAATATTCCTTGTGCACTTGAACAGAATGAGTACTCTGCAGGGTTGGGTCATTCATTTTATAAATACCAATCCTCTCATGTTGTTTGATAGATTTGCCCAGGTTCTATGTTCTTACTGACTTTCTCTCTGCTTCTTTTATTAATTACAGAAAATAATTTTTTAGCTATAATGATGGATTTTCCCATTTTTGCCTTTAGTTGTGTCAGTTTTTTAAATTTTAAAGAGAAAAACAATAAAAATAATGATACGAAATTGCATTTCAAGTCTTTATTAGGATATCCATGCACTTAGGATTGTAATGTATTTTTTGTGCATTGACCCTTCTGTGATTATATATATATTGCCATGCTTTTTGCTAAAGAGCTTTGCTGTTCTAAGATTCATTTTGTTTGACAGCTTCCTACTGATTAGTTTTTGTATAGCTTATCTTTCCCCATACTTTTAGTTTTAACTCGTTTGACTTCTTAGATTTAAGGGAGGTTTATTGTCTTTAGGATATATTTGCATTTTGCTTTTTCTTTTCCAATCTATTGTTTGTTTTTAATGGTTTTGTATTAACACGGCCTTTAATATAATTATTGATAAGATTACATTAAAATATACCATCTTACTGCTTGTTTCCTATTTTTCCATTATTTTCTGCTTTTCTTTTCCGCATATTTTTAGATTATTTTCAATCCTAATTTTCTTTGTTTTCACTATTGGCTGATTTTTACTTTTTAAGTCTTTTTATCTCATATTCTAGCAACTTCAGTATACATATTTCTAATTCACTGTAGCAGTCACTTGACTGCTTTGAAATGCATTAAATTGGCAATTACCAGATTTTTGATGGGGAAATTTTGTTCCAGTACTCGTTTGTTGGGTATGTGAGGCACAGGCTAGAACCTCTTGGTGTTGATTACCTGGAAACTTGCTACTCTTTCCAGTCAAAACAATTTGTTCTGATACTCATCAGTTTTGGTCTTGTCGCACTTCATGGAACCAATTAACAAAGAGTATCAAGGTGCGCCTGTATAATATAAGAATTTTACAACAATATACTTCTGATACACCCTCCTAGCGTTTGAGCTAATGCTATAAGTTTTATTTTTTCTTCCCATTACTGGGAATTGATATCAC